TATTCTGGTTTCAGCCAAACCAATATGCTGCCCAACTTCATTCAAACTGAAAAAATAAATTACACACATTCAGTCTCAAGTGTCTATTAATTTCCTATGATACTTTTCATCAGCCAACAGATATTTCAGAGTGTGCATGCTATACAAGATTTCTTGGGTCACACGGGTATCTAAACATGTCGTTGGAACTATTTTACCACTATGAAATTCTTTCCAAAACACAGTTTTCTTTAAATCTACTCCCCACCAACCCTTAAAAAATGCCTTTTGTTAGGAAATAAAGAAATAGTACCTGTTCTGCCACCAATCTGTCATGAGAAGGGAAACTTTATAAGGATTCATAAATCTGAATTGCAGTCCATAAAGCACTTATCCAAAATATTATTACATGCACTTCATTGCCTTTTTGATACTTTTCTGCCAGTTTTAAGGGTGGAAAAAAGGGGGGAGGGGAGTTGGCAGTGCTCACTTTTCATGTTATTGTAAATCAAGAAGAAAGCAATATTCCAACTGGCTTTCCTTAAAAATTCAGCTGATTTTGAGCCAAAGGACCTTAACATCAAATAAAACATTTTGCAAGACAAAACAAAAAGTCTACTGATTTCAGAATTCTACAGCCATATACCACATTTGACTTTTCAAAAGAATACAGTAGATTTTGAATTGTCAAACCTAGGATCATGCAAATGTGAGATTTACAAACATAGAACAGTGCCACTCAAATTCCAAGTGGCCACAGGCTGGGCCAGCTCCAGAGGCAGCAATGGGAACCAGAAGCTGGAGGAGAGAGGGGGAGCCCAGAGGCCCCAGTGGCCTAGGGCTGAGGGAGAACAGGAGGCCATGACAGCAGCAGGAAGAAGATGGCCAAAAGAAACAGCACTCAGACCCATGGAGGAGAGTGGGGGAGGGCAGGAAGCCAAGGAGGTAAGGGCAGTGGGAGGCCAAGGGCCAGAAGTTAACTCACTGTTGGACAGCTCTGATCTAGAACATAACCAACTGGAGGAAGGTCTCAAACAGGAATTTAAGATAACTGTCATCCTTCTTTTTCTTAAACAGGAATTAGAGATAACTGCCATCCTTCTCTTTGCATAGTGCTAAGCAGGAGGGACACAAGGCTAAATGCTAATATGAAAACATAAGCTCTAGTAATTACATAAATGTCATTTTCCCCTATTCTTTAAGTTTACTGTATGCAATCTGTCAAAATAAGGAAGTAAAAATGCATGATGATGTTGGGGGGGAGGGGTTGGGTGAAAAGTTAACAATCAGATTTCCCAAATAAAAGCTGAAAATAAGCAGCATAGCACTCATGAATATTTTTACTTGCTATTTTCATTTTGCTTTGTATGACATTCTAAAGAACTGCCCACATTTAACTTAAGATAAAAGAGTCCTTTCATACTAATGTTCATTTCTAAGCAACCATGTCAATTTAGTATCTACAGATGGAACAATCATTCCTTAAATGGTTTTAACAGGAAAGTTAGACTTTCTCCTAAAATAATAAATAGTGGAAGCAACCCAGTTTAGTTTATGCACCATTCAAGCAGGGGGAGAAAACTGACAGTTATATATGATGAAATGGAATTAAAAAGGTAGCAATCACAGGCACTCTTATTCCTCAGATTTGAGGATATGATTAAAAGAACTATATTAATGATGCTCTTCTCTGCACTGATACTTAAAGGAATTACTTTAATGCACATACGGGAATCATTATGACTATATTTAATCAAAACTGCTCTTACAAACTAAGCTTTTAAAAGTAACTCAAAGCAATTCTAGTTGGCTTATCACTTTTTGCCAAGAGCAGAGCGCTAGTTCCTGATCACTGTCCTAGTTATACAGGCTGCAGTACTGTGTACAGCATAGCCACTATGGGAGGGACATGAAGCATTTTTTGTTTAAATTCTTAGAGTGGGAAAATAATTCTTCTAGTTGCTTAACTCTGCAGTTTTCCATATCTTGTGTTGTCCTTTTGCACGACAACAGGAGGAGAAACATTTAAACAAACAGAAAAAACTGGCAAACTGAGTCGAAAGCAGGTGACTTAACTATTCTTTAAACAGGCTAAATATGAGATCAACTATTTCTTTAATATAGACTTTTTTTTTTTTTTGACTACTTCAACTTTTGTGCACCACCTACAGGTTCTGAATCTGCGATTCTCAGTCAGATGACTGGGACAATACCAGGCCCAGTGAATTCCTCAGAGATTCCAACATTACACTTCCTGAATTATCATTATCAGAATCTCAGTTAACAAGTTTGTCATCATCTTCCAAGGTCATAGTAAAATTTGCAGCTGCAGAGCTAGCATGGGGGGGGGGGGGCAGTGAGATGCAGGTACAGACTTATGAAGAGTCCCTAAGCAGAACTCTAGTCTTTCTCCAACATAACTGGAAGAAGCTTAAATTAAGTGGAAAACCAGGAATGTCCCCCATTTCCCAGGACTACCTTGACACTACTGTTCCAGAATAAAACTGACAGATGCCAAATAAGTTATACTTCCTAGTCATTGCCATTTAGTGTTACAACACTGAACCTACAATTAGCTGTGTTCTTTGTAGTTTCACCAATGCAGTATTTTCTGCCAAAGACTTAATTAACTATAGAAGCATCACCACTACCAGCATGACGTAATTGAAGGAGAGAGGAAACAGGTGAGAACGGGTTTCAAATGGAAACCACATGAAAAGCAGTATCAGAAGCATGGAAGAGAAACCAAGGGATCAAGGTTCCCTCCAAGGTGCGTGTGTGCACAGCTGTACACAGCTAAAAGTGTGGCCACGCACAGCCTTTCAAGGCCACGCACCAGGAGAGGCTGGGGCAGGAGCCTGGCGCTGGCTCCGAGGAAGTGTTCTGCTCCCTTGCATTGCCTCAGGGAGTGAAGAGGCACATGGCATCAGGACTGGGGAGCCGAGCAGTGTCACAGAGCCAGCAGAGCCTCACTGGGGCAGGCAGAGGCTCCTCCCCGAGGTGAGGCAAGGCAGGGATGGAGGCTGGGGCAGGGGGCTGGCATGGGCTCCGCCAACTCCAGGGAAGTGCTCCACTCCCCAGCCCTGATGTGGGGGAGCGGAGCACTTCCCCAGAGCTGGGGAATCCGCACCAGCCCCTGGCTCCTGCCCCTGGCCCCCAGCTCCAGCCCCCGGCCCCCTTTAGTAAGTGTCCCATGCCAGACCAAGGTGGTGCGCTCACAGACCACTGCTCCTTAGAGGGAACATTGCAAGGAATGTCTTCAGTTTACACTGGTGATCAATTTAATCTTTTGAATTCCCAAGTCTAACTGAAATAGTCAGCTGAACTGATAGCTGAAGGAAACAGACTACCTTTCTGTAAAAAAGGATGTAGAGGCAGGAGTAGAAGATTTTGGAGTGCAAAGGGAAAATGAGTGAGTATACAAGTAGAAGTGAAATTAAGTTGAATATGGGTTTCTCTACCATCAGAGGCTGTGAATATTCCCTTAGCAGGAAGTTCAGAAATGCTCATTTTAAAGTTAAGGCTTTTCAAATACAATTTAGAGCTGCTACACTGAACCCCCCCAAAATAAAATCATCCCCCACCCAAAAAAACTCAACGTCTTTCCTTTTATAAGTATGCTAAAACTAGTCACCAAGGTCTTCAAGTAGTTTTTATTGTACCATCTTTAATGACCTATAACATAATGTTATTCAAACAAAATGGTAAAAGCCAGTGTTCCTGTATGCCAGCCTGAAGGAAATGTAATTATTTTGGCAGAAAGTCATATCTACAACCGGACTTTTTTGCAATTGGACACACAGATATACCTACTTCCACCACATTTTTGCATTGCAAACTGCAGTAAGAGTGGGCTGCTTGTAACTTTGCTTGGACCCAGATGTTTACTGCCCACTTCCCTTTTTAAGCGATTGCTTTCATTTACATAATGGGATTAAAATAACCTTCACTGTTCTACCTGGTTGTTAGTTTAGACCACGTATTCTCAGCCAGGGTGTTGAGGTACCCAGATCCTTTGACAGGTGCCTGGAGGTTTGAGGGATAAGCAGGTACGCTAAGCAAAGAAGCCAGGCTCAGGCTTGTCCCTGCCTAGGCGATTCCCCCACTCCTACAGCCCAGCCCCTGTGTAAGGAGATAAGCACTGTTAAACACATGTTCGTTTTGGAAATGGGGTGCCGTGCAATTCACAGAAGTTAGGGATGGACCTCAAGTCTTGAGATGGGGGCGGGCCTCAAGTCTTCAAGCCTAGGGACAGCGGGGGGGGTTGAGTTCAGGGACTACAGGGAGGGGGGACAGGAAGGGATCTAGACTCCAGGGACTGGGGTGGGAGCAGAGGTGGCCCCCTCAAGTCCTAAGATGCAGGGGGCAGGAAGGGGCCTCATATCCAGAAACTCGGAATGGAGGGCCCTCAAGTCCAGGGACCTGGGGGCCAGGAGCTGGCCTCCAGTCTAGGGACTGGGAGGGCAGTGAGGGGGACACTGAGAACAGGGAATGGGGAGGGGAGGTGGAGGGGAGCAGGGAAGGGGTCTCAAGTCCAGGCACTGGGAGAGAGGAAGGGGCAAAGGGGGCCTTCAAGTCTGGGAATGGGAGCAGGGGGGCATGGAGGGGGCCGAGTCCAGGGATTGGGGAGGGGGGTAACAGGGGGCCTGAAGGGAAGTCTTGGCATGAGGGGAAAGGGGGGCACAGAGAGGGCCCCGAGTCCAGAAACCTAGGGCAGGGAAGAGGACTCCAATCCAGGGACGGGAGGGAGGACGCCGAGTCTAGAGACAGGAAAGGGGGGGGCAGGGAGGGGACCCCGAGTCCCAGCCAGGTGGAGAAGCGCCGGCTCGGGCCAGACCCGCTTCTTCCCGCCGCCCGCAGAAGCCAGGCACAGGTGCGGGGCCGGCGGGGAGGAGCTTCACCCGCCCCCGGCGGAGGCCGGGCC